GTGTACAACTCTATACATCATCTGTATATTACATTGTATGTTTACCACCCCAAGCCACGTCTCCTTTCATCACCACTTATTCTCCCTTTACCCTCTTTACCTCCTCCCACCCCCGTTTCCCTCTGGTAATCACCATACTGTTGTCTGTGATTGAGGTTTTGGGGTTTTTTAAATTTTCTTTGCTTACTCCCTTGGCCTTTTTCACCCAGCCTCCCAACACCCCTCCCTCTGACAGCTGCTTCAAATTATAATCTCAGTAAAAGTTTGGGATTTGGTTTAGTGGAGGAGAATCAGGAATCCATTTTTAAAAACCTTAAATCCACCTTTTATGATGTTCTGTCTTTGCATTAGTCATCTAATGTCCTAGTACTTACTGCTTTTTCACTTCTGCATCACCAGGTAGCTCTGTCTTATAATTGTGGTCTTCCTAGAAAGGAGATGTTTGATCAGGAATCCTGCTACGGATTCAGAAGGAATATTGTTCCTCCAACATCTTAATGTGAAAAATTTCAAACATACAGAAAAGTTGAAAGAATTGTCCAATGAACACATTTATACAGGTATACCCACCACTTGGATTCTGTAATCAACATTTTGTTCTGTTTGCTTTATCACATATCTTTTCATTATTGGAGGGAATGTTTTAAGAGGATTTAGTAAAGAGTTTGATTTTGAAGGAGACTGAGGGTAGGGTGGTGGATAGTTAGATATAATTCTTGTTTTGAATTCCGTCTTCAACTAACCTCAGGGTTAGGCTTGGTGGTTCTAGAAGGGCGTCTAGGTAAAGGCTGCTTCATGCTTCAGCCTTTACTTGAACTCTGTTATAGGTAGTGTCTTCACCTTTTGTTCTAGAAACTACACAGAATCTGAATTTTTTGAAGCCTCCGATGGTGATAATGGGTGGCTTTCTATAAGTTGGTTGTGATGTCCTCTGTTAGTAACAGAACATCAGAATTTCTGTTCTGGTTTTGTATTTTTGTAGCATGAAATGACTTAATTAATTCATATGTTTTTTGAACATATTCTCTGCATAGTTATGTGTTTACTGGAGGCTTACTGTTAGAATCCCCATTCTCATTTCCCAGTGCAAATCGAGGCGTTTCAATTCAAGGTCTTTTTAAAATTTTTGAGCTTCCTGGCTCCCTTACCTTTTTTAAAAAATATAGCTTTATTGATTTCAGAGAAAGGAAGGGAGAGAGATAGAAACATCAATGATGAGAGTTGTCATTGAT